ATCTTGTGCACCAATGATGCCCGGTGGGCATTGCTTTATCTTATTATCTCATTTTATCCTTATAATGCTCCAGCAAGGTCCAATGCCCAAACTAATGCCCAAAAATGCCCAGTAATGCCGCAAATCTGCACACCACAATGCCCTCAGCGGTTTACCCCTCGATTATGTCGCTACACAAAAGTGTAACAGCATTGGATTTGGGAATCTTTTCCAGATGCCAGTACACTTTTGTATAGTGTGATAATTTCGATGTCCTTTCTCTTGAACAAACGGATTCGCGCGAGCAATTTTCATCATTTCTTGCACGTCGCATAAAGATAAAATTATGCTCTTGTAAATTTTTATTCACATTCGTCTATCTTTCCCGTTTATATTTACCGATATGTTCTTATGCGCACTTTCGGCCTTAAAATTCCCGACTCGATATTGCGACACGTCGCAGCGTTTTGGTGGTTGGTTGTTCCAACCTCTTGGTAAGTTAGCTAATGGTTAAATCACACGTACGTCTTTGTTTTCCCTTCGAACTACTCTTTAAAAGTCAATCAGTGGATTATCAGTGAAAATGGTGAATATTCACTGATTCGCAGTTAAAAGTATAGCACTGAATTATTCAATGCTATACTTATAACTGTTTTCAATGATAATGCATCGATTGACTTTTAGAGAGTAGACAAAGACAGACATACAATTTAACCATTAGTTAACTTACCAGGAGGTTGGAAGAACCGGCCCTTAACCAGGGACTCAATCAGGAATCTTTTTCTCAAGCGTGCAACTCGCGAAAGGTGAAAATTTTCATTGACAAACATTGAATTCGATTTTCACCAGTTGACGCCAGAGAGAGAGACTCATGATCGAGCCCCTGGTCGTTCGGATTATGATACGAGGCTCGACGTTAACGCCGCAGTTCGAAAACACACTGCAAGTTTATTAGCGGGATTAATGTCGTGTAAAGATCATCGAAGATCCAATCGCGAAATGCCAAGCGGCGTGTACCAACAACCCGTACGATCCCCGCGTAAGGCGCAAGGGTAATTCTCGCAGGATTTAAGCGTACTCGAAAACGCGGCGAGGGAGAGATCCCGCGGTACGGGGGCACCGGGTAAGCAAGATGGAAGTGTTTTATCGGCCGTTTCTCAGGCTCGCTTTGATGTTACGCCGAGGCAGGTCGGTTTTATCGAGGCGCATCCCGGAGGAGGCAGGCGCGCCTCGGTCCGACGGGAAGTGCCTGGCGAATCGGGCTCCAGTTCGCGTTCGCCGAACCGATCCGCGTATCACATTGGAATTAATCCCGGGACAGAGATTTTTCGCGTCTCGCGCCGCGTTTCGACGACGGGGATCTTACCGTCGCGCCGCGTCTCAGTTCCGGCATCGTCCTCGTCGCCAAGTGCCGCCGCGCCGTGGCGTCGATGAACGCGATAAACGGTGAAACGCGGCCGCGGGTAATCGTCGCGCCGTTTTTCTCGCGTATCGGACCAGTCGGCTCGCTCGGGCTGCCGGGTGTATCGCGGGCCGTTACCGCATCTCCCGGAGCGCGCTTTCTTATCGCGTTATGGCGCTCCGAACTGCCGGGTGAAGTCGCGTAACTTCGGCCCGGTGTGCGCGGTTTAGGGAAAGACGTTATCAACGTCCGGCTAGACGCCTGCTTCACGACTTCTGCACATTTCTGCTCAAGCAGATTGGTTTTGATCCCTGTTCAACTAAGCCTTTACCCTTTTCCAATTCCTGAGACTAGAACAAAAATGAAAAGAGAGCTGGACCGCGATCACTCGCTAGTGTGACGATTGGCTATTTCAAATTTTAATGGCTGCCTAGCCAATCACAATCGCAGATGTAATCGCAATCGTAGTCGCGAGTCGCTAGTCTGACACGGACATTACGCGCGTCGTGCACTTTTCTAGAAATTGTTTTCTACATGTCGCTTAGTACTTCATAGGAGATATTTTACGAGGGCCGTTTAGTAGCAAGTTCTTTTACTCTGCCTATTTCCAAGCGCTAGAATTCATATATTTGCCAAGGGTTCGACTTAATATTTCGATCACGCTAAGCTCTTTCAAGGTAATGCACCTTTCCGGCCATTGTTTTCTACATGTCGCCTTATATTTCGCAGGAAATAGTTTACGAGGAGCGTCTTACAGCGTGTTCAAATCGAACATCCGTAACGTTCGGATGTGCTTGCATTTTTATCATTTGACTCTGTCACGCTGATGGCGATGACTCGCTTTGTATTACTTGAAAAGGACCTAAAATAAGGTCGAAACGTAGCGTTAAATAAAGGAATCTACCAGTTGGGTCAACAAGCTCACTGTTTTAATTTGTAATCATCACTGGCGACTATCAGCGACTTCTTTTTCTTTCGTCGATTATCCACCATAGACCCTAACAATGGCGTCTACACCCGTCGAAGGATTTTTCAGAACGATCACACCCCAATTTGGGCCGAACGTGACGGGCCTTATAAATCCTGAATCCACACAAGGACCAAAATTTGCACTGCAAATCAGCAACTTATTTTCTTACTACGATGCCGAAGTTTCGCAGCAAGTTTCTTTATTTTGTATCGTGCGACAAATATTGCCGTATGCTACGCTCTGCCTGTTTCCAAGCGCTAGAATTTTGGCCAATCAGGCTTCAACTTAATATCTCGACCACAAGACGAGGATTCTAAAGTCTTGTAAGCGACGCGTTATGCTCTTTTCAAGATAACGCACCTGTCTGGGCATTGTTCTCTACATGTCGCCTTGTATCTCATAGGAGATATTTTACGAGGAGCGTTTGGTAGCAAGTTTTTTTTTACTTTGCGTCTTGCCACAAAGATTATCATACGTCGCGCTTCGTATTTCCAAACTCTAGAATTGATACATTTGCTAAACCAGGCTTACGAGACGAAGGAACTGTTGTAAACGACGCGCTAAACTCTTTCACGATAAATCCCTCTGCGCTGCAGAGTTCGTTCCCCTAATATTTCTGCCAGCGGAGTCGCGTCCACGGTAGCTCGCGGGAACTTATTCAAAAGCAATTGTACCTAAACAGCGACAGGGGCAAGGGTGGCAGCTACCGTAACGTCCCGAACGAGGATAATCTCTCTTATCCGGACTAATCCTTCGGGGAAAGGTGTATCACTTACGGATATTGGCCGCGACAGTTCCAATGGGATTGGTCAACAGAGGCCTCTGGACAAGATCCTCCTCGAGATGAGCACGACTCGGTCGGGCCTGCTTTCTCCGTGACATCCCTCCGACTCGGGTTGAATCAGTTCGCCGCACTCCTCGCTCGCTCTCGCACTCCTGCGGCACACGAAGGGGCCAGTCGTCGTCCGCCGACGGTTTGGATCGGGTCGTCGGTTCGATCGGCTGCCGCCGCCGCCGCCGATGCACTTGGCTCCCGTGGATCCTCCGCCTCCTCTTCCTCTTCCGTCTCCTCCGCCGCCTCCTCCTCCTCCTCCTCCTCCTGCTCCTCGGGATCCCGACGAAAAGCAGACGGATGCGTGGTCAGTCTAGACGTCGTCGACGGGACAACGGCGGTTGGCGACGTCGCTGCAGCGTCGAGGGTGCGAACCGCATGTCTCCCCCTCGTCTCTTCTCCGCTCTCGCTCTCCTTGTCTCCTCCGTTTCTCCGTTTCAATTCCGCGCAGCGACAACCGCAGCTTCTGAAAAGACGCAACGCTCGCTACCCGCGTACATCGGCACTAACTACCTACGGGAGACGCATCTCCCCGCGAACGCGCGCAGCGACGCACCACGTCGGGGCGTTTCATACGTGGGCTCGTCGCCAGAGGAGAGTCACTCGTTCTCGCTCCCGCCGGCCGGTGAGCGTGTCAACTCGGCCAGTAATCCATAGAGGCTTGACGCACCGGGTCCCCCTAACCCATCCCCCACGAGAAATGTTTCTCACCGCTCGACGTACTCTCGCGCACTGAGATTACCCGGGCTCCTCTTCTCGCACTCGCGCGACTCGCACGTGGCCGTGTGTCTACTCCCTCTCCCCGAAAGTTCTCCGCTGTTCCGAAACGACGACGAGTCCCGGCTGTCCCGCTGGGCTGGTGGTTATCGTAGGTACTCTCTCTCTCTCTCTTTCTCTCGCGAACAACACAACACCCGGTACTCACGCTGCTTCGACTACCGCTCGACCGGCGTGTCGCGACCGTATGGCGACGCGAGACCGCGACGGCGGCATTCCCGGGCGCTCGGCGGGTAACGAGCGCGCCCGTAAACAGCGTCAGCCGCCGGGCACGGCCAGGTCCTACGCGCGCACGATGCGTGTCCCTATACACCACTGTGCTCGCCCACTGGGTACGCGGTATAACACACGTGTGCGACGACCGGCTCTCTTGACTGCTGACGGACGGACGGACGGACGGTCGCGCGCGCGCGCACCGCGCGCGAGTGCGATGCGTGCACAGTGCGCGCGTGTGTACGTGTGTGTGTGTGGGCGTGTGTGTGTGTGGTCCGTGTGCGTGCGTGCGTGCGTGCGTGCGCGAGTGCGCGCGTACGTGTACGCGTGCGTGTTCACGGGTCTATATCTCGCGCGAAATCCGCTGCTCCGATGCTCCGAGTCGGCCGGACGACGGACGGACCAGCTCTGGGCCTGACAACCGGGCGCCCCTCTCCGCCGCCACGCCGCCGTCGCCGCTGCCGCCACCGCCACCGCCGCCGCCGCCGCCGCCGTCGCCGCCGAGACGTGGCCGCTGGTAGGGGCAGAGGAGATATGCCCTGCGCGCGCTTTCACCCCCACCGCGGCCGCCGCTACCGCCGCCCCCTCCCCCGCCGCGCCAGGCCGTCCATCCACCCCCCACTCCTCGCGCGCGCTCGCCCCACTCCCGCGCGAGCGGCGACGTCGGGCGCGCAACCTCCTTCGTCGCGCGGTGCGCCCTTCCCCGCGCGTCGCGCGAATAACGCGGGGAGGTCCACCCTCGGCGCGAGTCGATTTCCGCGCGTGAATTATTATCGCACCGCGTAACCGCCGCACGCATGTACCGCCCGCGCGCGCGCGCGCGCGAGATCGTTCCCGCGTGTACACTCCTCTCAGAAAGATCGACGATTTTCGCCCGAGATGCTCGTCGCAAGGGCTCGCTCTTGGAAGACTCGTACACCTATATGTATAGAGACGGACGGAGAAGAGGTAAGATGCGTCTCTCTTTCCTTTTTTTTCTTCTTTCGTTCTCCGAAGGCTGCGTTCTCGATTTCCGCGGCCGCACGATCTCGGCGGGAACGCGAGGGCCGCGTGCGGCGAAGCGCGATCGAATGAGCCCCCGAAAGGGACTCGCGCGCGCGAGAGGAATCCTCTCCGCGCGCCGCGCTCCCCCCCTCCGGCATCGCGCCCCGCTTCTCGTCCTCCTCTAGCCGCGCGATCCGTCTTTCTCTCTGTCTTATTCCCCTTCCGGCGGATGCTCGATATCCCCACCGCGTGGCGCGGGACCGCGAGGCGTGGCCTGTCCCGCACGAGTGCCCGCCTCCTTATGCATTATTATAGCGAGCTACTCGTGTCTCTATGATTTTATATGCCGCGTTTCAGCGTGAATATTCTAGCGCGCTTCCACGGCGCTCCTGGCGCGTTTCCGCCACCACCGCCGCCGCCAACGACGAACCCTACCGCGCCGCGCCGCACCGCTCCGCACCGCACCGCCGTCGATATCGTGTGTTTTATGCTGCCCAATTATTTTCTCATTCCACCGTTGCGCTCGATCCGGCCGTTCTGGCGATTGTACGCAGGACGACGAGGCGAGACGCAGGAAGGAGGATCGTAACGAGTGCGTTGACATTTCTGCCCGGTGTCGCTCGTCGGTCGAGATTTTCTACGGGCCACTCGAGCGGGTATTTGTAATTCGGTTGATGTAATTGCTAATCGCGCGCATCAAGCGAAGACGCTGATTATGGGATAGCCGGCTGTCCGATCTGGACGAGCAAAATGTTACCGATTGGTTACGCTCGTTAGCACGTTTAACGGATCCGCGCAAAGGGAGATTTAAAATAGATATTCTTTTAGCGTTGATAATGCAGAGAACTCGCTAGTCTAAGGCCTGGGTTGCACCAACGTTGCCTAACTTTAACCGTAGCTTAATTTACTCCTTGTCTTTTTCTAACGCGGCGTTTTCAATGAGATCGTTAGGACGTAAGAAAATGACCAATCGCAGTCGATTATTCTCCTCACATTCGATTGTGGTAGGTCGCTCTCTTAAATCCTACGTCTTAAAGTTCTCATTGTAGACGCCGCATTAGGGAAACGGAAAGAGACAAAGGGTGAATTAAGCTAAGGGTAAAGGTTACGTGTCGTTGGTGCAACCGGGCCTAAAGCGCATTCGGTGCCAGTACTTTAATGTCATCTTAATGTCAGACCCATGGAGTCTGTATAAGGAGACCGAACTGGGCTTGATTACGTCACCAAACACGGGCCGACTTTATTGCAAAATTTTGAATCAAAAATTTTGCCACTTGTAGCACTGGCGTCGCACAAGCGGATTTAAGGATTCGCCCACGAGTTTACCGATCTTGATCTCACTGGCTCGTAGATACAGCGTATAAACGTCGTTATTTGGGGATCGATTTCTGGAACTTAGGAAAATCACAAAAGTGAGCGAATACTAGAATATTTGTAATTCCAACCTGTGAATTCGCTCACTTTTGTCATCTTCACAAGTTTCAGAGGATACACAATCCACCTCTCTCACGGACTCTCACAAACGCTTCGTGCATGTGTCCGTTAACAGCGCTTCCAGTGATTCTTTTCGGAACGAATATTTCTCGAGAATGTCGGCCCACTCTGATTACGGGCCTTATGTCCGCTTCTACCAATGCAGTCTAACTCTTTATCACGGTTTAATTTACCTTCCACCTTTTTCCGTCTCTTAGAAAAAGATTTACAAAAAAGTTAAACCGAGATTAAAGTTAATCCGCATCGACAGAAATGGACAGCAGTAGCACAGTGTTGGTTAAACGTTGGTTAAACACTGGTTCGATATTGGATTTGCTGATTATATTGAAAATGCATCGGCCAATCTTTCCTGATGTAAGCCGTGAAACAAGTGCAAATATTGCACGGTAATAATCATACGTATAATAAACTTTCACAGGAAATACATTTCCAATACGTCGCAATGTGTAATATGAATATTGATCTAATATTGATACAATATTGGACCAATATTTCTGAATAGACACGTTGGCTAAACAAGAGGAGGCGTCCATCTTATCGGACCAACATTGTTGGGAATATTTAGATTTACATTATTTCCCAGTATCGCGCCAATATATTGGTGCTATTATCTAGTCATTATTAGCAGTTTAAAACATCGCCGAGTGTTAACACTCAAAACCTGAGTGTTCTTTCCGCAAGGGATTATTCGACGTATCTGGCAATATTTTACTTACATTTCGACCGAACATTCCGGTCCTTTTCGGGTGAAAAGCGTCTTTTGGTAACATTCTAAAATCAGACAAGTGCCAACCAAGCCGGAATCTGAAGACTACAAAATTATCACGTGGAAAAGAAACCAGAATTGCAGTGATACAATAATGAAAAGGTTCCAAAGAACTTACATGTTTATCAAGACACATAAGAAAAATGACGATTACATATTTCGTATTACAGTGATCACACTAGAACTTAGAAAAGACGACCGTCTATTCCTACCAACAAAGGTCAGTCACAAAATGATGATCGAGACTATCTTCCGGCATAAAAATGACAAAGGATGGCCGCTCGGAAGACGTAGGAGTCAACGAACGAAATAAAAAAATAGATAAAACATAAAAGGGGGAAGAATAATTGCAACCACGGAGGGTATACGCACAAGAGAGGGAGAAGCCACGGGAAATATCGTCGAGCGTAACCGCAGTTTTGCGCGAATTCACGATATACGCGCTCGGGCCGCGTCTTGTCGTATCACGCGGCGTGCAAACGCGGGGGAACAGGTGGGTCGTGGATGATTCAGAGACGGGAGACGGGAGGACTAAGGCAAAGGCTGCGGTAAAGCGGCAAGTAGAAAAGCGGGGAGGGGGCGTGGGGAGTTAAATTGGGGTAAGGCGCGCGAGAAGACCGAGACCGAGACCAAGAGTGATAGACGCGGGGTATGCCGCAACGGTTCGTACAGCACTCGGTCTTGCGTATGAATAAAGGCGTCGGCTATGCCTATGAGTTCCCCCATTGTGCTGGGAATACAGCTATAAGCCGACGGCGTGGGATCCTTCCGGATGGAGCGTTTTAATTATCGCTGATTTTCCCCAGTTAGAACGGAACTCTATTTTCACATCGCGCCATTGTGCGCCGCTCGTCGTCGAATCCGAATCAAACGAGCGCGGCCGAATATGGGCCTCGTGAGCCCTCCGGGACGTTTTTCTAGCGAATTTAATATATCAACCGAGCGGGAGTGCCCGCCATATTTGTGAAACGAAAACGGTACGGCTTGGAGAACCGTTAGGCAAATGATAATGGCATTAATTAGTGAAGGTCAAAGTACAGTCAATGTCATGCTGCAGTTTCTAGGAAAAGTTCGATGTATTTTACATTCTTCCTATTTCATATAATCTCCGTATTGTTTCAACGATAGAAAGGCGGCGAATTGTAATTTTTTATATTACAGGTTAATCTGTCACATCTGTGCAAAATGTCATAGAAATAACATTCTACAAAAAAACCAGTAACTTGCACATTAAGAGTTTAAATGATAGAGTCCAGCTACTGGAATAATAATTAAGGAAAAATATAAATGACTGGAGGAAATCTTACAAGTCACGTTCTGCCGGTCGTGAAATTAAGACTTGTTCTGTTGATTTACCATACGGAATTATTGACACAATAATCACTTGAGAAGGACCACGCATGATCGAGACGTTGTGAGTTTAAACATAAAAATTTGCCAGACATGGTCAAGTGATCTGAAGTTATTTTTTTTTATATAAAAATTCTGATAAGTTAGATAACGTTAGACGCGAGTGATATAAATATGAAGAATGTTTACTTGCTTGTGAGTCTACTGATTTTCGTCGAACCCACATATTATTGCACATTATTATTAATCATCCATGCAGTGTGTGCCATCGCTTCGAAACTGTCGCCGTATAACCGCAGCTCCTCGCGCGAGGACCGTTAAAATAAAAAATGTGCGTTCTCTTTTCCGTCTCGAGTAGGTTTATTGTCCCCTCGGAGTCATAATTTTTGCATAAAGATCTTAGGGGCTTTAATGTGCGGTCAGGCCCGAGAAAAAGGGTGGTCGGTTGTCCGTCGTGAACAAGCGCCGGCGCCGGGTCTGACACCTGCAGCGAGCATTTTTCCTTCTAGGATTAGTAGATACCTGCCTCGCGCCGTCTTTCACAAACACGGGAACACTTATACCCGGGCATTCTCTCGTACACCAGCGTCCTATACCTGCTCGACGTTGATTGCTCGACAATGCGCCGTACAATAGATTGTAATAAACGATTGTTACCTAAGCTAAGGAACACTAAATATTCTGTCACAGCTATGTAAACTTCCGAGTAGCTTTACAAGCGTGTAAATCATTCCTTTAGCCACGGGCATAACCAACGTCCATAACACAATTTTCGAGAGGTTTTCTAGAAGCACGCTTTCTGCCGACAAGCGTACGAAATAGCATGCGCGTTTGTAGCAGTTTTTCCAAATTATTTCGTCAAACAAAAATACGAAGAAAACGCATTATACATTTTTCGAATCACTTCTGGTCCTGTCTGTCCGTGGGACAACCCGAGGTATTTTTCCAGCCCTCGCGAGGTACCCGTGAACGCCCGAGCGAACGTGTTAAAGGAGCGCGTTTTGTTATCGTAATGCTACAATAATGAGCACGCGTGGACGACGGTTTTGTGCCCCGCGAACAATTCCGTACCTGTAAGTACGCCACCCGGCACCTGTCCTCGTCCTACACGGATGGACTTTTGCACCCAGTACACTCGACCGAGTCGAATCCCGATGATCGCGGCATTAAAAGACCGCAGAAAATCCGCCGCAGCAGGTGGCTCTCTCTCTCTCTCTCTCTCTCTCTCTCTCTCTCTCCCCCTCTCTCTCTCTCTCTCTTCGTGTCTCTGTCTCTCTGTCTTTCTGTACGCGGGGGCATTAAAGCCATTCGGAGCAGAAGGGGAATCAGCAAATTGACGCCGTTTAGATTGCGC